GGATAGCACTCATGGTTCTACAGTGTTCTTGTGGTCCTCAGAGGCCAAAGGAAGATTGGGGGTTCTGGCCTTGGAGAGACACAGAGAGGGCAGAGAGGACTGTCTTAAATGGGGGTTAGAAACTCGATATGGAATGCCCTCAAGGTGGGCCACCAAACAGTGGTAAGAATGACCCGATAGAGTCCAGTATATTTTGCAGAGAATTGAGAGGAGGAGGCAGGCTTTTTGAGGGTGGTAAAAGTACCAGGTCACCAGGAGACAGAGTGGGAGAAAGAGAAGAGGCAGAATTGGCTTTGCCAGAACAACATCCCTGTGTTGACAAAGAAGGTTCCTAATGTATGCAAGAAGGGGCCAGAAAAGATGAGGAACAAGGGGTAGTGGAGAATCAAGGGTTTTTAGCTGAGCAGGGAGGTAGGCTGTCCATATAAAAGCTCAAAGGGGAGATGTTGAGTGGCTTCTTTGGGAGGGCCTGTGACAAAGAAAGAGCCAAGGAAGGAGTTTAGCCCAATGTAAATGTAATTCAAGGGACAGTAGACAATGAGGGAGGCTCCATTTACCAAAGTGAAGGCTCTGATGAGGGCAACAAGTTCAGCATTCTGATATTGGGAGTGGAGGCTCTTACACAACTGAGGCTAGAGAGACTATTGCCTGCCATGTTCCATGAATTCCCTCCTGAAGGAAGGGGGAGCCATCTTTAAACCAAAACTCAGAGTGAAGTTGCCAAGGGGAAGGGATGGGGAGGTTGAGAATCGTGGTGCTGGGCCAAGATCTAAGTTAACTTTTGTGTCTCAAGAGGAGACTTGTCACTGCCATCTCTAGGGGGTAGAGTTGTGAGGAGGAGGGGAGGAGAAGGGTAGAATCACTTCCCCAACGGAACTGGTGTGTGGATAAAGAAGAAGATCCCTAGGTGAATGGAAGAAGGTGTGTGGTCATTGTCCTGGCGAGAAAAGTTTTTGGGAACAAGTCTGCTCTTCAAAGAGAGGGACAGCATCAGCAAGGAGGGAGAGCAGGTGTTGTGATTGGGCAGAAAATGGAGGAGGTTTTGACACAGATGTGAATGGGCTCGTGGTATGAGGTGATAGAAGGACTGGGAATGTCCACCTCAGCAGTGGGTCATTGGAAGGCACTGGCCAACAGAATAGGGGATGGTCCTAAGGTAAGGGTGAGGGTCAGAGGAGCAGCAGGTGAGTATGCATGGAAGTGTCTATGAGGGGAGAAGGAGAGCATAGCCCCCAACTTTTTGAGGATGTCCCTTCCCATAAGGGGAACAGGACACTGTGGAATGACCAAAAAGGAATGAGTAAAAATTAGAGAACCACAAGCACAAACAAGGCTAGGTGACTGTAAGGGTTGGTAGTCGGCCCCCAGAACACCTTGAGGACTGAATATGTAGCCTGGTGTCTAGGAGGTAGGAGACGGGCCTACCTGACATGTGCAGTGTTACCCTGTTTTTCCATGGAGTGATGGTAGTGGTTGAGAGATGGGGACCTGCATCTTTTCAGTCCTCTGCAACCAGTCCTAAGAGTTGAAAAGAGGAACTGAAGGGACAGATGTCTGGGGAGCCCACATGTGCTCAGGGAATGTGAACAGCCCAGTGTCCCTCTTGATGACATTTAGGACAAAAATTTAGAAATTATGAGGCTTGGGACATATACAAGCCCAGTGACCCATCTGACCACATTTAAAACATAATCTGATTGGTCCTGAGGGACCATCCTATGGGCCAGTGATACCAGGGAGAGATGGCTTGAGCGAGCATCTGATATCTCAGCTTTCAGTCCTTCTCATCTCTCTCATTATACACCTTAAAGGTCACTTCCAGAACCTCAGCTTTGGGATTCAGAAGCCCCTTCTCAAAGCATGTGTCACAAGGAGACAAAATTGCAATGTATGCAGTCCAGGGAGAGAAATAAAGAATGTCCACATTCTTCTGCCCCTATCAGTGCTGTATTCACTCAAATTATTCAATACAATTTCACTCTATAGGTTCTTTTTTAATATTTATTTTTTAGGTGTAGATGGACACAACATCATGCCTTCATTTTTATGTGGTGCTGAGGATTAAACCCATGTCCCGCCCATGCTAGGCAAGTGCTCTTCCACTGAGCCACAATCCCAGCCCTCTATAGGTTCTTAATCAAGAAAATGACAATCCTTAATGCTAGGCACTGCAATAGACATAATAAATTCACAGCAAACAATTCTAGATTAATTTTAAGCACTGCAAGCACACTTAATCATGACAGGCTAATGACAGACATTCCCTCTGCATGCTTATTCTTCTCAAGCCTGCTTGCTGATCCAGTCCCCCCAAAATACCTTTTACCTTGTAGGGGAACCAAAGAATGCTTCTCCCTCCCTGTTCTCATGGATAGGTTTTAGGAGTCTCTGCTGTGTCTCTAACAACTCTCTTCCAATTTTTGTCTTTTCTTTTTAGTACTTATAAGGTTCTTGCTTAGCACCTGGATGGCCACCTTAAATGACAGCTGCCATTTTAAGGAAAACATTTCACTTTCCTCCCCAAGGGAGTTTCTGAGAAAGGCTCACCACTCCCTCATACCAACCAAACCCTTAACCACCTGCATTAGGGCCCTCTAAGCTCTGATTCCTGAGCTTCCCCCATAAGTCCCAGAACTCAAGCCTGTTCTGCCTCTCTCTCCTACAGAGGGATGGCCTTCACTTGTCAAGTCTGAAAACTAAACTCATGTGTATCTCTGCCTGGTCTCCGTCTTTCATTTCTTGCTTATCTGTCTTTCATTCCTTGCTTTCCTTTCACCCTCATACCAGGTTTTCAGTTTTTTTTTTTTTGAAAAAGAATGTTAAAAGACATTAATTTTACATGCCAGTGTATCCAATTAAATGTATAAAGTATAAATACAAATTAAATAATGCATTCCATTGTGTTCATATGGGCTCTGGTTCTCCTCACAGATAGACAATTTTCTTCAAATTAAAACTTCCCACTGGAGTCACACCAATATTGGATTTATTTACTCACTTATTTGTTTATGTACTTTTGTGGTTCTGGGGATGGAACCCAGGTCCTTCTACATGCTAGGCAATTGCTTTGCCACTGAGTTATATCCCCAGGCCCTCAGTTAATTTTTATAAGTTCACTCATTTCTGTAGAAAAACATAGGTTCTGAGTTCCTAGATTGTACAGGTGAAATTGGCCAGTGTTCCAGAAGGGGATCTAGACTCTTTTGATGCAGATGAACAAAGGAATATGCACCTTTCAGTAGCACTCCAGGGAGTGGAACCCAGTCCCCTTCTGACCCGGCCACCCTTACACACCCAGTCCTGTTTATCATGACATTCTACAGTTGTGGGATGTCTCACAGCACAAATGAACCTAGAGTCAAACGATGAGGAATTCAAAGAGTAATCTGGGTGCTTTATCCCCAGGGCTGCATGGGGACACATGCAGCTCACAGTCCTTGTAAAATTCAATGAGTCTGGACACACCAGAATGTTTTCAAATCCCTTTTTGGTCATGAAAACCCTTAAAACAACCAGTGATGACACTTCTTATATTGCAGAGCTCCCTTGCCTTTATTTGATCTTAGAATCCAGCAGCAGAGCAGAATGACTGCTGTTCAGAACTTGCCCCCCACCACACACACAAGTTAGACATAGAGCCAGAGGAAAGAAAGTGTCATAAAGAGGGGTGAGGCAGAAAGTGTCATAAAGAGGGGTGAGGCACACAGATCGCTGTGTGGGTGACAGATGGGCTGGCTGTGTAGGACCTGGACTCTGCTACCTGTTCAAGAGTGAGCTACAGTTTGCTTACACATCCAACTGGGTTCTAGTTCACTGTGTATGAAGAAGCCTTCAGGCTCAAACTAGAACACATACACAGGCAACTTTAGGATAACTCAAAAGAAGATCTGGTGGACATCCTTGGATGGGAAGCTAAGGCTAAGGTTATTGCATAACCCCATTAGCCTGAGTCCTCAGCAGGAATCGTCATTTAGAGGATCTTGGTCTAGGACCAGGCAGCACAGGCAGGGTCACCCATTTTCCCACAGCCACCTCATCCTTACTCATCCTCTGATCATCTGCTGATTGAAAATCTTGTGTCCCTGAGTAGGGAGAGATGGGAAGTGTTAGGGGAAGATCTGTCAGTTATGAGCAGCCTTCTCCCCCACCAGAAGGTGGTAATTTATTAAGTTTAGTTTAGAAATATTTGCAAGTGTTATCTACCTATATAATTCTACTATTTTGATGAAATCTAATTTGGATGGTTTCACTGGCCATGACTACATTATTTCAGGAAAGACTTGGTAGCAGGATGAAAGGCAAGGCTTTGTAAGGCCCAGAGACCCTGTTTTATTCTCATTGCATCCAAAGGCCAAGACACCAGGTTTGTAGGTCTATGTAAAGAATCACAAAGATTGGCAAGCCTTGAGCTTCTGGGTGGCACTGAGAATTCCTGAAAAGGGCATTTTGAATTTTTACTGTCTACTTAGAATGTTCCAGGCCTCCTGTGTTCCCCTACATGGATTATGACAGTGTAGCCACAGATATTGACCTTATTTCAATTTGATTCTTTGAGTTCCTGGAAATGAACTTCATTGATTACCAAGTACTTGGTGGTATTTCTCCATCAGCCCCTGGACTATTCCAGTGTCAAAATCAGAAAACTAGGTAAAACCATCATGGAAGATGTCAGAGGACTAATCTTGAGATTCTGTTCATTTCAGACTATTTATTTATGGACCATCCATGAAACAAAATAGTTTCTTCATGTGCATGAAGCATATAACCCATTGTAAAAACCCAGGTCCCTAGTTATGACTCTATACAGACACATATGGCTCTATACAGAAGGTCCAATCTTCAGGGGCTTCCTTCCAATGTAGCCCCCAGCATCTGATTCCTTTCCCCATCCACAGTTCAGGCAGTGTCTGAGATGCTGGGCTCTGAGTTTCCTTCATGATCCCTCTACATCCTGGTTATACATCCAATTACAAAGAGGGCAGCTTTTTATACACACCCAACTAGGCATCTGTTGGACAGGAACAGTGAATGAGGCCCTGGTTGTAGAGAAACATGCAGCCACATTGAGGACATGAGAGAGTACCGAAAATAAGGACCTTTGGCTGCCTAAAGTCCTTCAGTATTGCTGTGAGCTCAGCACAGAGTTGGGAACATCTTCTGGGGTGGATGGCACCCTGGGCATCATAGCTCTCCAGAGGGGCAGGGTATAGCTCTAGGCTCAACTGGTTTAGTCTGGCAGTGTGGCACAGCAGGTCCCTGAGGACCGACGTGGAGATGTGATTCTGGAAAAAGCACAAGGCCCTGAGCTGGGAGCAGCAGCTCAGGGCAGGCAGGATGGCTTGGAGCTGGGAGTCCGTGATCTCACAGGCTTCCAAGTCCAGGCTCCTCAGGGTGGCTGCAAAAGTCTCCAGAAGAATTTTGAGGGGCTCCAGACTAAAAGTGGTCAGTTTGATGCCCTTTAGATCCAGGTGTCTGAGCTGGCTGGTGTTTGGGCATCGGGAAAGGTAATTCCAGTCTGAATCCGGCAGCCGGCAGTTGGTTATTGCGAGGGCCTTCAGGGGCATCTTCAGGTGTCTAAGGAAGAACCAGGCAGTTAGTTCTGAGGGAAAAGATGAATTGGCCCAAACCCAAGGTCACTGTGAACATCTGAACATGGTTGACATTTTGTAGAATCTGCTCATTCAGGTCACTCCATTTCATCCTGAACTTTCACCACCACTTGTGTGACCAGGTGGGTCCTCCATCTCTATGAATGTCATCCTCAACGAAAAGCAGAAAGCCATATATCTAGCCACAGGAAGTCAGGAAGAGTCATGTACGAAAGACAAATCCAGGGAAGATGTGGCAAAACACACTGGGGTTAACTCCTGCAGGGCTCACTCCCTGTCCCCACAGCAAGTCATCACCTGGAGATGGTTGTAGAGAAACATGCAGACTTCCCAGGTGGTCATTAGAAGTGGGCTCCTCTGCTCCCAGATGGAGGACACAGAGCTTCCTTGTTGAACAGGTACAGGTGTTGGGGCTTGCCCTCCTTCAAAGTCCTCACCTCTACCCTGCATTTTACCCCTGTCACTAGACAGGCCTCCCAGGGAAGGAGCCTCACACCCACCTCACTAGCTTCTGTCGCCATCAGCTGGCTTCCCAGTATGGTGGCACTTCCCAGACCATGGACCTGGTTTACCCCTTTGCTCTAACAGAGGTTAGGAGATTGAGCTTCAGGATACAATAGAACAGATGATGGGTTATTCACCTTCCAGTGACTTGTTCACCATGAGAGTGTCAGTGGCTGGCACACAGTAAGTGCCCTTTCATGTTTACTGATACTTGTTTGCAGAGGAAGATCACTCTCCTTACTCACCTCAGCACCTGCTCCAGGTGGCCCTTGAGGAGAAGGACAGCATCTACACAGAACGTCTGCAGGCAGTTCATCCTGAGGAACTTCGAGGTAAGCTGGGCAAGCAGCCACTCCTGCTCCTCTGGGGAGGTGTGGGCAGGTACAAGGACCTGGGAGATAAGCAGCTTCCTCAGGTTCCTCATCTGGCACAAGAAAGGAGCACAAGCAGCCAAGGTGGAGGGTGCCCAGGTGCAGTGCACTTCCACTCTCTGTACAGAGTCCAGCTGCAGCAGTCTCAGGACCTTCCTGGTGTAGCTGGTGGGTTTCCCAAAGATCTTCAGCTTATTGCAACACAGGTACAGCCTGTCCCTTCTCTGTGTGACCTACAGGAAAAAGTGGGTCAGGAATTCATCCTGAGGCCTTTCTGTGAGACACAAGTCTATGAATATCTTCAAGGGCAGCTTAGCTGCCATTGCTGGACCAAGTTTTAATGTTCGATTCTTCTTAATGTCCTCTGGTGAGCAGGCATCAACTGTGGCTCCAGACCCCATCCTCCAGAAGTTCTGGGGAACATTCCGCAAATCCAGCACCTGCAGTTTCCACCTCCTGCTGGGACACCAGCAGAATCTCAGCCCTGAGGCACCTTCCTTCACCTCTCAGCTGCTGCCTCCTGCTCCACCTCTTCCTTCTGTCTCACTTTTCTCCATCCACTTCCCTCCAATCCAGCCTGGTGCCCCGACTTGTACAGACTGAGGCAGGGGCAGGTACAGCCTTCTTTATGGGTCTCCACAGCTGCCACAAGCACCTCCACATCTGGAAGCCTTTCCCAGATGGGGCTCAGCATGGCCAAGGCCTCTCCACCCCTCCTTGCTGGCTGCACAGGAAGCCTATGGAGCACACTTCAGCACCAACTCTCCCTGCCTATACCCATCCCTTCCCTGGTACTGAGGGTGCTCCCTTCCAGGCCACCTGGGTCCCACTCACCTGGGGTGATCCTGCTGGGCAAGCAGCATGTCCAGCCCATCCAGGGCCACTCGGATCATCTCCACTTGTGGCTTCCTCAACAGGGCCCCCAAGGGCAGGTGGGTGAAGGGCCAGGCCTGCACCATTTTCTTCAGGACCTCAGTGTGTCCCCTGCTGAAGGCCTCCACAAAGAGTGGTGGGAAGAGCTCTATGGGCAGGTCCTCCAGATCCAGGACAGCCCTGGACTTGTCACTTAGCAGGCTGCACCCTGCCAGCTCCAGCACCATGGGTGGGGACTGGATGCTCATCCTGGGGAGTCTGAAAGAAGAAGGATCCTGGAAAATGGTCCAGGGAAAAGGCCACTATCCCATCCATTGCCAGCCACTGGGAAGGGGGTACTGGGGAGTCCAAAAACTCACTCCAACCTTAATGGGGGAAAGCCTTTGATTATTATTTTGTCCTTACAAAATGGGAATTACTGTGTCATGTGACTTAATGCAGCAGGCTCTCAGTTTCAATAACTACAGTGGCTCAGAAAGGAGTTGCCCTCACATGGGTGGTGTTATTTTTAATTTCAAAAAATTAAATGAGCAATTATAAAGTATGTGCCCATACTATAAAATACTTGGAAATTACAAGGGTGTCTCATGGATATCTATTACACAGGTGAGATTCTGCTACCTTAGGGGGGAGTTGAAGTGAACAAACAGATCAGAACAGAGTTTGTGAACTGTTGCATGAGATAGTTTGAAGCTTTTTGTTTAATTTGTTTAAACAAATTATAAAATTACAAAACTACATAAGCCCTAAAATATAATTTGGGGGATGAGGCGATATTGGGGATTGAATTCAGGATACTCAACCAGTAAGTCACTACCCCAGCCATATTTTGTATTTTTGTTAGAGACAAGGTCTAACTGATTTGTTTAGCATCTTGTGCTGCTGTGGATGGCTTTGAACTCTAATTCCTTGGCCTCCTCAAACTCTGGAGTTGTTGGGATTACAGGGTTTTGCCACCACACCCAGCAAACCAGTATAATTTTAAAGGCACACAAAATAAATATATTTATTATCAGAAAATAGAATTTCAATTAATTAGAATGAAAAAGGATTGTAATCCACTTCCTTGGTTAAGTAATTTTAAATTGGCTTCATCTGGAGCTCAGTGGAAGAGCACGTTCCTAGCACATGTGAGGCACTGGGTTTGATCCTCAGCAGCATCATTACTAAGTGATGGGCTTGGAACATAACTCCGTTGATAGAGTGCTTGCCTCACATGCACAAGGCCCTGGCTCAATCACCATACCTTCATATAAATAAATGAATAAATAAATAAATTACATTGTCCATATAAACTTTAAAAAATACAACAATTTATAAAGAGAAAAAGTGAGGGGCCTACGTGCACAAGCCTGTAATCCCAGCGCTCTGGAGACTGAGACAGGAGGATCATGGGATCAAAGTCAGGCTCAGCAAAAGCAGGTGCTAAGCAACTCAGTGAGACCTTGTCTCTAAATAAAGCACAAAACAGGGCTGGGTTGTGGCTCAGTGGTTGAGTGGCCCTGGGTTCAATAGCCCATACCAAAGAAAGAAAGAAAATTGAAAGTGACATAAAGAAAGTGGAAATCCTAGTGTTCAGTATAAAGGTAAAACTACAGTGAGAGGCAAAAATCAAAGTTCTAAATTGGTTCATGAGAAAAGACAGAAACAAAATTGTTCCTGAATCTGCACAGGTGAGGCAGGAACGGGGTGATGTTCAGATAGGTGAGGGACTTACAGAATCTGTCCAGGGTTCTCGGAGCCTCAGCAGGCCAGGCTGGTTCTCCTTGGGCTTCAGGACTCTTGTGTTTCTCTTCTGGCTCCGCAGAACCTTTTATGGACCTCTCTGACCACGCCCCCACTTCCATCTGATTGACTGGCATCCAATCAGAAGGCAGTATCTGATCACGTTCTCCAATCTCTACCCATTTAATCCTGATTGGATTTCCTTCCTCCAGATTAATTGATTGAATTTGATGCTCATGCAGGTGCTCAGAATCAAGAAGAGTGTGAGAGTCAGGGATGCCTCCCTCCATGCACTACACACCATGGACTCAATTTTGTCCATATGTGACTCTCCTGTTCCTCCCATGACACAGAAAAGCACTGAACTCCTAAGAAAAAACAACACCTGAAAATATATTTCAAAGGGATCTTTGGCCATATCAAAATTATTTGAAAAATTTTTTTTCTGAAAATTCCATAGTAAAAATAGCTTTTTGAAGACATGGTGTCATCCACAAAGACCACAGAATGGAAACCATGTTTACAACAGTCACACAAGTGTCAAGTTACCTAGCAGCAAATCTTGGCACACTCAGAGAGGAAGAGCACACAAGTAGGGTGGAATCAGTCTTCTAGACTTAGGGCAAGACTTCTCCTATTTGGCTCTCTGTACTGGGGATTGAACCCATTGGTTCTCTACCACTGAATCACATCACCTGACCTTTTTATTTTTTGCTTTTATTTGGAGATAGGATCTCATTAAATTGCTTAGGTCCTCACTAAGTTTCTGAGGCTGGCCTCAAATTTGCCATCCTCCTGCCTCAGTCCCCTGAGTTGCTGTGATTACAGGCATGGGTCACTGTGCCCCATCAGACTTGGAAAAGTCTGAAATCCACTGAGGGTGGAAACTGTGGGCAATTTGGGAATTGGAGAGAAAGACACAGTGTTGGTCAGCAGGTGTTCCTAATACCAGGGAGGCCACCAACTGAAGAGTCTTCCTTCAGAATCAGGGACCACCCAGGGCACATCTCCCAGGCAACCTTTGCTCCAGGCACTTTCCATGGCCCTTTAGGCTTTGAGAATTTCACAGGCAAAGGAAGATTTGAAGAGCCTAAGTAAAAAGTAATTCAGGAATTGAGGAAGCCGAGACAGAAAGAGATGGAGTGCTTGGATGATGAGCCATGTGAGGGGAGGATTTACAGGGAAGATATAGAATGAATGGTTTGATTGTTGGCAGTTACAGAATTGCATTTCTGCTTTGTTGTTCTGTCTTTGTGTTAGTCAGCTTTTTCACACTGTCACTAAAAGACCCAAGCCCAACACCTACAGAGGAGGAAAAGTTTATCTGGGGGCTCATGGTTTCAGAGGTCTCAAAGCACCCACAGCAGATTCCATTCCTTGGGCCCTCACCTCCAAGGTGAGGCTGAACATCATGGCAGGAGATTGTGGTAGAGGGAAGGTGCTCACATTATCAGAGAACAGAGAGGGAGATGGCCCCTTGCCAAATACAAAATATATACACCATATTCACACCCCCAATGATCACCTTCCTCCAGCCACACCCCACCTGGCCCTGGTTATCACTCAGTTAATCCCATTGGGAATTAACTGACTGACAAGGTTAAGGCTATAAACCAATCATGTCTCCTCCAAAACCATTGTCTCACAGGTGAGCCGTTGGATGACATAGCATCTAAACCATGATGGTTTTCTTGGGTATCTTGTTGGAAAATATCCCTGGTCACATCACAGTTGGATACTTACAGTTGAGGTTATCTTTGGTTTCTGTTTCACATAATAAATTACCACAAATGACCCACATTTAATCTCCTATGTGTGCAGTGAAGTAGGGCAAAGGCTATTTCAGAGACCTCATTGCTTTTTAGGTTCCACAACATTTGAAGTCTAGTCTCTGATTGAATTCTAAATTTCTCTGCCATTTGTGTGTGTGTAGCCAGAAAGGGTGACTTCATGCCACAGCCCTGCCTTCTCTTACCACCCTTGACATGGTGCAGGAGGCAGGTAGATGTTACTGTCAACCTAAGTCACAACAGACAGTAGCTCTCCAAAGAACAAGTGTAGTCAGACATAATAGGGCAGGAATGCAGGACACCTAAAGAAAGATGAGTCAGAGCCCCATCCAGGAGGCGAAGGGAGACAGAGTGTCAAAGGCATCTTTGAATCAATTATCACTGGCTCCACAGATTCAGTACCAAGGGTGGCCTCAGTTCAAGGACAATAGGTGGCGACTGGCCAGGTGGCCTCTTTGAAAACGTGGGAGGAGTGTGAGTGTTATGGTGGATTTTATGCATAGCTGAGGTTGGGGCTGACTGGTTTGTGATAGATTCTGAAATCAGGCAGGGCTGCCCAGGGACCTTCCCTTCGCAGCACCCTGCTTCCACTTCATCAGGATTTGACACAGTTACTGCCTGTTGATTTGAGCACCATTTATGTTTCCTCCTTGGGATGAAGATTTTTTTCTCTGGATGCTTCACATAATGGTTAGGGTTTGATTCCATCTCAGTGCCAGGATGAACTTTTCCTGGTTGGTCCAGACCCCATTGGAGGGAATTAATAGATGACTAGGAATCAATGTTGAAACTCATTGAGCCACATATGAACAACAAGATGTGTTTGGAGGGAGTGGCTCTTAGTGTCCCTCCACCAGGAAGTCACTGTGAAATGCAATTTTGCCTGTTCATTAGGCCTTGGGTACCTCATCTCCAAGCTTTGGCCTTTACTATTCTATGAAGAGTAAGACTTTTGCAGAAATTTTATGAGTATAGATGTTCATTTTTTAAAAAAAATATCTAGGTCCTGAATTCATTTGTTTTTATTTTTATTTTTTATTTTTTTGTCACTGGGGATTGAACTCAGGAGAGCTTTACCACTGAGCTACAACCTCAGATTTTTTTCACTTTTATGAATTAATTACTTAGTTAATTAAATTATTCATTTATTCAGTTTGGGTACTAAGGTTTGAATGCAGGGGAACTACACCACTGAGCTATATTCCCAGCCCATTTTTTTTTTAATTTTATTTTGAGACAGGTTCTCACTAAATTACCAAGACAGGCCTTGAATTTGAGATCCTTCTGCCTTAGCCTGCTAAGTAGATGGTGTTATGGGGAGTCCCTCCAGAAAGCATTCTAAGTCTGAATTTCAAATCAAAAGAGATCTTTACTTACCTGACTAGGGACTGTCACCCACCACAGAGACTCAAGCTCTGTGAGAGGACAGCAGCTTCCTGATCCATCCAAAGATATTATAAGCACAAAATCCACAACTCAGTGACGTGCTTATCCTCGTGTAAGCTAGCCAATTATAGAAACTAAAACATTAATAAGTGGGGCCTCTAGGCTCTAGGCAGGATCAAAATTTTCCAGTCAGCAAGCCAGCACATTAGCCTTGCCGTTCAGTTGAGCACGGTCCTGGGTTCAAGCAGGTGCTAGACAGTCACATCCTGAATGTGGGTGGGGGTCAGCAGGGTGAGAATCTACTTCAAAGTCATGTAGACCCACAATAGCATTCAAACCCAGGATGT